ACTGGCTGTTTGTCTCTGTGTGTCCCTGGGATGGACTGGGGGCCTGTCCGGGATGTGAAGTGGTTAATAGATGAGTGAAGAAGTGCTGCTGGTCATAACAATGAGCAGTATGTAACACCTCCTTTAAGATAGCTGGCGATAATTTGAGTTTACGGGGGAACGTCGTCGGTCTTCAGGACTTTTCCTTTATTTCCTGACCGTCAAACGCTCGCCGAGCTCCAAACAGCTGCTCTGTTGTGGCTGACAGCGGAGGTCGAGGAGCAGCAACAGAGACGCAGAACATTAAAGTTTCAGAAACCAAAACAGTCAGCTGAAGTCGCTTTACAGCCCAGCAGAGCTGAGAGAAAACACAGCAACTCTTCAGTTTTAACACTCAAACATTCCTGCTTGTCTCGTAAAACTATTTTCTGAACTCGAGTCCCGATTATAGCCGCTTGAATTTTCTCCAGGAGAGACAGGAAATGAATAAAAATAAGATAAACGGACAATTACGCATGCATGGTTATGTAAATTCAGTCATCAAATAGAAACTTTATGGGGAGAAGTTTCTTTAGTGTGAATTTCCCAAACGACTGCAGTGGTTGTGAAGTCAAAACAGCAGCTCCAAACTTTCTGCTGACGGGAAAATGAATTAAAACCCTCAGAATGTCGTTATTTCTCATAAAACCATAACAGTTATAAACCTGAGTTATTTCACACCTCGGAAAAGTTCAAGCCTATCACAAAGAGCCAAACAAAACCGGATCACAAACCACCAAAGCAATTAAAAGCGGCGCCGGTAAACAGGCAGATCAATTAAAAAGTGATTAGAACATAAAGCACGGTCGATAAAGTGCAGACAAGCAAAGCAGCGGCGATAAACACTCCACCTTAAACCCATTTTATGCTTTCTTCATCTCTCTTTTCTTTATTTCTCCAAGGCTTTTGTGTTTATTTCTAAATGAGTTTAATCTGATGAGATTACAACTTATTTGGTCAAAATCTTCCCCCTCCGGATGGACGGGGGTAACGAGAAGAGGTTTCAGGCCTGGTTGCTGCTCTAAAGCAACAGGAAGAAGAGAGTGGAGGAGGCAGTGATGAGGGACAATTATAGACAAACTGAGCAAAGTTCGGTGGGAATAAAGAGAAACTGTGAGCGAGTGAAAGGGAAGTGAAATGGATGTTTGTGAAAATGAGGAACAATCTGAAACAGAGATAAGAGGCTGAGCAGAGCTCCGAGTCTGGAAGGTGGAGGGTTCGTGGGCGGGGGTCCCAGCCGCCGTGCTGGTTCAGAACATTATGGCTGTTTGGGCACATTATGGAGCATTAGCTGGAGGAGCATCTTTGAATAATGCATAGTCTTTATTTATGAGCAAAGAGCAAACGTCCTCAGAGGAGCTGTACACCCGGACTGGCTCAGTCAGTCAGAGGAGATCTCAAGCTTAATCTAAACTAGAACCACCACCGCCGCTCTTAACCAGAACCAGACCGAAAACCGTTCCTGCAGCCTGCCCAAAAGTCAAAAATGACATGAGATGGGCTGTTTGCACGTGTTTGAGTCCCGGAAAAGACCAGTTTTACAGATGATCAGCTGAAATCTGGAGTTATGGCCGAGAGAGCCTGTTTTTGTTCCAGGAACTTAAAACCATATTTACCTTGTTGTTGAATAAAGGCTGCTCGGAGTGTCACGCGTACCAAAAGTAACGTCTGAGTAACGGTCACAGAGAGGCGGTTCAGTCTGAGAAAAGCTGGTTTAAC